TGGTGACCTTCACCCCATCACTCCCTCACTTCTTCCTCCTTCGTGGTGACCTTCACTCCATCACTTCATCACTTCTTCCTCCTTCGTGGTGACCTTCACTCCATCACTCCATCATCTTCATTTCGGTGTCTGAACGACAAAAACTCAAAAAAAGAGACAACCGAGATTTCGATTAAACATTGAGTACGATAGTTCGTGTTCTCACTCAGTCCCTCTGGTACTCCGTTTGCTTACTGATTTGAGTAGTTTGCGTTGCGTCATTGAAGTCAATCTCCGTTTGCACTTTGCACATTTCCATTCACCAGAAGCCGAAGCCCGAAGGTATGAGTATGACCTCTTTTAATTGTTTTCCGCCTTTCTATGAATGTTTATTGTTCACTTGCTTTACAACCAGAGTTTAAAAGTGTTTGGACTGAATGAATTTTTGCTTAGGTGTGTGCAGCTTGGGTTTTTTACGAAAGAGACAACGGAGAGGCTACATCTGTAGTTATAGTTCGCTTGATTCTACATCTGTAGTTTATAAGGTAATCTTTAGATTTTGGTGTCTGTCTGTTGAATCTACATCTGGGTGAATGTCAAGGCTGTCTCCATAACATTTGTGACCTTAGACAGGAGTCACTTTTGGTGTCTTCTAATAATATAAGCATATATTAAAAAAAATATTTCAAATTTATTCTTCTTGTTTTTTGAGATGTAAAATCACTAATTAACTTTTTGTATTCAAATTTAGAAATCAAATTTTTTTCAATTGATAAAATAGCTAAATTACCTAATCTTTCTTGTGACATGATTGAACGTAGATAATGAATTGTTAAAAGCTTCTAGAATTTTCATCTCTTGGAAAATCTAAAACTTGTCTAATTGGACCTTTCGCAATTAATAAATCACGTAAGCTTGTGTCTAAATTATTCCATTATGCCGGATCATAAATATTTTTAATAATTGTTTCATCTTTATCATTAATATTTTCATTCTTGTCGATTGAAATATCTTCTTCTAAATTTTCATGATATTCTTCACTAGTATTTGATGAATTTGAGCTGTTATCTTTAAAAATTTCTTCATAATTTTCAATTAATGTTTCATTTAAATCTTCATTTGGTTTTTCTAGCATTTGGTATTTCATATTAATAACAAATCTATCAAGTGCACCTTTTTGGGATTGAATTAGTTCTTCTATCCTTTTTTTTCTTACGTTCTTTAAATCCGGATTCATACTTTCTAGTAGACATTTCTAATTAAAGAATAAATAATTTAGAGCCCTTGATATTATTTTGCTAAAATAAAAATAATTATAAAAACTGCAAGAACTTAGCCCTTGATTTATGCTCTTTTGATTTTGCTTTCTGCTGATACTCTAAAATCTTATATTATTACCCTCCCTGTATAAAAATAAGAATGTATGTGACACATTCGCTTGACCAAATATCACTTGCTAAACCCAAAAAATAAAAATTCAAAGCTTGTGCAAAGAAATTTTTGTCTATAGAGATGAGAAAGCTGAGAGACAAGAGATGAGAAATCTGAGAGTAAAATGAGATGAGAAAGCTAAGAGTAAGAATTAAGAAAACTGAATTTTTTGAGTAAACTGAGGGATAAGTGATATAAGGGGTTGTCATTTGGGAGAGAGAGTAGATTGCGATTTGACATTTGAGAGGTTGCAGCCGATAATGTGTTTTAACGGAAAAATAGAGTTGATAATTTGTATGTGTTTCAACGGAAAGATTTGAGAGAGATAGGCAGAAGGTTGGATTTGATGGGTTATTATATACAGTGGGACTTTTGTAAATATATGTAAAAAGCTTATAACAAATTTGGGCCCTTCTGGCCTTTTTTTGGGGCCCCTTGGACTGGCCTGAATAGGAAATTATACAATAATGGTATTTTTGTAAATATATTAAAAAAACTTATAACAAATTTGGGTCCCTTTTTGGTAGGGGTGTTCAAAAAAATCAGATATTCGATACCTGATCCGTATCCGATTTGAAAAAATCGGATATTTGAAAATTCGAATCGGACTCGAATATAAATTTTGGAAGATTCAAATTTTTGGATCAGATACCGGATCGGCTTTGCAAAGAAACCAGATATTCGGATCCGATCCGGTTTTGTCCATAACTATAATTTTTAAGAAGTTATTTCGGGATCCTAGGTGAAAAGTGGTAAAGTATGTGGAATGTTTTGAAATACGATGATAACTTCTGGGTCAAAATGTAATGAAATGCTAATGTGGTAGGGGGTATGGAAGAATAATGCAAAATTTTAGGAGGCAAATTGATATATCTATACAAATTCGGATCAAAACTGAACATCAGGTTTATCCGATCCGAATATTTGGATCGGATCAAACGAAATCTGGATCGATTCGGATCAGATCAAAAAAATGCAAAATCGGATCGGATATTTGGTTTTGCACACCCCTACTTTTTGGCCCTATTTTTTGAGGGCACTAGGCAAGTGAAACCAACCCTGACTAAATGTAATTTTACAGGGTACTCATGACTGGAACCGAAACTTGAAATGTACGTTTCGGTTCCAGGAACCTAGGAACCAGAATAGACTGGTTTTGATTGTGGTTTCTTATGCTAGGAACTGAAAAATCGACCGGTTCTAGGTCCTAGCAATTTTGGCAGGTACCGGGAACTGCTCACCAGTAGACTGTCTGTTGTAAGGACTATTCATTAGTTTTAACAGTAAAGAGGGTAATAGTGTAAATGACATTAAATTTTATAAATTTATTAAAAACTGAAATCTCGATCATCGAAACCCATCACCACAACACAGCCAAATCCCTAATGCCCAAACTCATCACTGTGACACAGCCAAATCCCCAACGCCCTTCTCGGCCTCCAAAACCATGTTTACTTGTCAGTTGCAGTGTCGCCCACACAAGCCTCCCTAAGTGTTGAACTTCTCCTCCACCTCTCTTGTCTCAACTTCTGCGCCCCACATCTATAGCACCAGCCCACACACTCGCTCGGAAAGCACAGTTAGGGTCGACTTAAGTACTATGCAAGTGAAGCACCTAGCTAGGGCCTCCAAGAAATAGGGCCAAAAGGCAGCCCAAGTTTGTTATAAGTTTTTTGAATATATTTACAAAAATACTATGATTATTTAATTTCTTATCCAGGTCGGCCTAAGGGGCCTAAAAAAAAGGCAAAAAAAAAAAGCCCAAATTTGTTATAAGCTTTTTACATATATTTACAAAAGTATCACTGTTATATAATTTTCTATAAAATCTAACCTTCTGCCTATCTCTGACAAATCTTTCTGTTGAAACACATACAAATTGTCGGTTCTATTTTTCTTTTGAAACACATTGCAGGCTGTAATCTCTCAAATTTCAAATGTCAAATTGCAATATCCCTCAGTTTTCTTAATTCTTACTCTTAGCTTTCTCATCCCATTTTACTCTCAGATTTCTTATCTCTGTCTCTTAGCTTTCTCATCTCTATAGATAGAAATTTCTTCCTGTTTGTTTTTGGTAAGCTGTTGCTTGTTTGTGCAAGATTTGATTTTTTATTTGATTTATTTTTTGGGTTTAGCAAGTGATATTTGGTCAAGTGAATGTGTCGTATACATTTTTATTTTTATACAGGATAACAATATAAGATTTTAGAGTATCAGTAGAAAGTAAAATCAAAAGAGCATAAATCAGGTGTTAAAGTTCCTTGCATTTTTATAATTATCTTTATCTTAGCAAAATAATATTAATGGCTCTAAATTATTTATTCTTTGAATAGAAATGTCTATTAGAAAGTATGAATCTGGATTTGAAAAACGTAAGAAAAAAAATAAATGAATTGATTCAATCCCAAAAAGGTGCATTTGATAGATTTGTTATTAATAGGAAACATCAAATGCTAGAAAAACCAAAGAAGATTTAAATGAAAAACCAAAGAAGATTTAAATGAAAAATCAATTGAAAATTGTAAAGAAATTTTTGAAGATAACAATTCAAATTCATCAAATATTATTGAAGAATATCTTTAAAATTTAGAAGAAGATATCCCAATCGACAAGAATGAAAATATTAATGATAAAGATGAAACAATTATTAAAAATATTTATGATTTGATTTAGTGGAATAATTTAAACATAAGCTTACGTGATTTATTAGTTGAGAAAGGTCCAATGAAATAAGTTTTAGATTTCTTAAGAGATTAAAATTCTAGACGCTTTTCTACAATTCATTATTTGTGTTGAACCATGTCACAAGAAATATTAAATAATTTGACTATTTTATCAATTGAAAAAGATTCGATTTCTAAACTTGAATACAAAAATTTAATTAGTGATTTTGCATCTCAAAAACAAGAAAAATAAATTTGGAATAATTTTTTTAATATATGCTTATATTATTAGAAGATCTCCAAAATAACTTTTATCTAAAGTCACAAATGTTCTTGAGATGACCCTAAGCACAGTGCCGCCCTCCTCATAGGTTTGGCCCTCACCCCTTTAACCCATGGAATCTTCTCCAGTATGTGTTTTATTTTGCTTGCACAGTGTATGGGTTTTAACAATAAAGGAGGTTTTATTTTATTTTGTTCGGTATTGGGTTTGTTTATTCCTTTATTAGGATTTTTCCGGCGGCTGGTGAACTGGTACTGTTGTTATGCACTGGGAGAATGAGGGCTACATTAGGGTTTAAAGAAATCAATTATCCCACAACACTGCAATAGCCTAACCCTTAGTTTAGATTTTCAGATTTGATTTCTATTGCTTAATCTTGTGGGTTTGGGTTGGAAACTAGGAGGAATCAAGAATCACTACTGAATATATTATATACATTGATTAAGGAATTTGTGAGTGTTTTGTGCTGTTGTTAACAATTTCATATATTTGGAATTAATTTTGGCTTATAAAAGTGCGTTATAACTATTTTCATGGGAAATAGATGATTAAATTTGTGATTATTGTGATTTGGTTGCTGTATAACAGATACTAGACTAACTTCAGTTACGATAAAAACAAGTTCTTCATCTACAATTTCATCAATGAAGGAAGAAGAAGTGAACCGGTGCCAGATTCAAGAATTGTACCCAAAGTTTAAATCTGTGTCCATTATAACCCTGATTCACGAACTTCCAGAGTCTTTTGTTGAGTATCTTCTGGATGACTCTGGGCCTTTCGTCCTTCCTGCTTCTGTTTCAAACGATGATGCCCTTCCCAATAGAATCCATAATCCTTATGAGGAAGAAGACTATCAGGTATCCGAAGGATCTGGGGATGAAGCTGAGCCGTCATCTCCCCCTTCTTTTCCAGAACTAGAACTAAAGATTAGGGAATCCATTGAATCCCTTGGCGGTGCAATTTTTCCTAAGTTGAATTGGAGTGCACCAAAAGACTCCTCTTGGATTAGCACATCTGGGACACTTCGATGCGCTTCATTTAGTGAGATTGCACTCTTGCTAAGATCATCAGATTCATTGGTACATGATCTGTGTCATGCATACGATTCGTGTGGTGATAGAACCTTATCAAGACCCCAGAAGTTCTTTCTTGCTCTTCGCAAGTGGTATCCGTCTTTACGACCAGAGATGGAGTTTCGATGCTTCGTATGGGGTCAATGCCTAGTTGGAATTTCTCAGCGTGAAGTCACAACATTTTATCCTGTTCTTTGTGAGAAGAAAGATGATCTAAAAGCATTGATTCTAGATTTTTTTTTTAACAACTTGAGATAGAAATTTGAATCGGAAAATTACACATTTGATGTTTATGTTACGGAAGATGAGCGGGTTAAGGTTTTGGATTTTAATCCTTGGGGTGCATTTACACTGCCACTACTTTTTACCTGGGAGGAATTGGAGCAGAATCTTGGAGAAGAAAGCGAATCTGTGGCCTTCAGAATTGTGGAGAGCCAGTGTGGTGTTCGACCAGGTATAAAGACAGCCGTGCCATATGACTACTTGGATACCAGTGAAGGGAGTGGTTGGGATCAATTTCTTAGGAATGCTGATGTGGAGCTGCATCGACAAACCCGATCACCTGAAGCAGGTGCTTGAGGATCCGATTTTTTTTTTTTTTTTGAAAGTTTTGATGTACTAAGTTATGCTTGTTTTGTTTCATATTTTTCCTATAAATGACATCAGTTACTGGTTTATATTATACAGTCACTGAAGTATTGCTCCAAACAAAAAAAGTGGAGGGTAAATCTTTACTTGTTATAAACCTTTTCTCTCTCCTTGGTCCTTCCTTTCTTTGTTATTCCTCTGACTTGGGGGAACATTAATCCTTTAGACAATGGAAAATATATATTGACTGGCAAAATGACACTAAAATAGGGTATTCTTGTTTGCATTTTGAGATTTATGAAAGAATTTGTACAAGTAATTTGCATTATAGATATCATTCTAATGAAGTCCATTTATGTTTATTTCAGATATTTAGTATGCTTGTTTATTAGATTTTCCTCTGTGTGAGAAAGAAACTATATTTTCACACGAGATTTGAAGTGACAGTAATTCACTAAAATCATATTTTATGTCATCTGTTACTTGGTGATTCAATGTCTTCTAATATTTTATATTGGAGATGATGAATGATTTCATCAAATCAAAATAATATATGATAGAATTCCCAAATAAATTGTTATAAAGATTTTATTTCATGTGGCTTGAGACTCCTTGGAATTATTTAAAAAAAAAAAAAAAAAAAAAGCAGTCCCCATGTTGCTGTGAACATGTTTTGAATTTTATGTTTCTTGGGATTGTTAATTACTTCAGAATTAATCACTTTTGAGAATGCTATAAAAGTAATTATTAATTTACAAATAGAGAAGTTTATGTTTGTAAATTCCCACTTAGCACGAGAGTCACTGGACCAATTGTTCAAAATCACCGACTATTTCAACCGTTTAAACAACTTAAAGCACTTCTAATATCACTGACTATATCAACCGTTACAAATTGGATATTAAGATATATATTACTAGGAAACCTTGAGGTAAACATAGNATTTTATTAATTATTATATATATAGTTCAATATCTTGATATTGTATGAAAATATGATTTTTTGATACCATTTGAAAAACTGGAAGAACACTAAAAGTTTCAAAATTTAAAAGAAAATGTTTGCATTAACGTCAGAAATATCTAATTTTATTCCTTGAAAATAAAAACTAAAAATTTCCGTGCGAACATTCACTTAAACAACTGCCGTACCTACTTTATCTAACTACTATGGGCCCATCTAATTACCACCACCGACCGATAAGGAATCCACACGTGTCAAAAAATCACCCACGGTAACTCTAGAACTAACTCAGCATTTTAAGACCCATGTTTTTACCGATTCCAAACAGCTGATACCCTGAAACCACAACTATAAACTCTAATCATGAGACAAAGCACGTTTCTCGAAATCAACGGTGATTATGTGGAGCATCATTTATCTATGATATTATTTCGTCCGAAAAGCTCATCATTCTCGTGGTGTCAGAACATCCGATCTTGACTAATCCGCTACTTTCCCATTTTACCCTTCCAGTCTCTTCCCTATATAAACCAAACAATAAAGCTAGGGACACCGAAAAACCTGCACCGAAATTGTGTATCGGCCTAAATGTAACACACTTCTGATTTTTTTAACAACATATGGACAACCGTCCATATTATATGGACGAGGGTCCATATATTAGGGATGAGCGTCCCCAATTAAAGGACGCCCGTCCATAAGTAAAATGAAATAAAAGTTTTTTATAAAAATTAGGGACAGCTGTTCATCTGTTATAGACGACCGTCCCTTCATTTTGGATGGGCGTCCGTAAATAAGAGACGCCCGTCCTTAACCAAAATATGAAAATAAAAAGGAAAAATTTGGAGACGGCCGTCCATAAATTTTGGACGACCGTCCCTTAAGTTTGGACGGTCGTCCCTTAAGTTTGGACGGTCGTCCATTAGGCATCCATTAGGAATTGACGGCCGTCTCTTAAGTTTGGACGGACGTCCATTCTATACCTTAAAAAAAAAAAAAAAAAAAAACATTCTAAACACCTTTCTTCTTCGCTCTTCTTCTTCGTCTTCATTCGCTGTGTTTTTTTCATATTTATCGCACCTTGTTCACTTGCCTCTATGGAAACTTTATTGCATAGTCGTTATTTTCAGGTAGTTTTTGATTATGATGACCAAAAGAAGATCGATTTTTTTGGGTCAGGAATAGAAGAAAAGACAAATGAGACAGTGAAGTTGAGGTATATAATACAGTTAGAGCCCATTTTCCTTTTTCTGGTTATCAAATATTTCTCAAAAATCATGTGATCATGTAGGAGTGATACTACAGGCGAGGTGGCAAACCAGCCAGTCCACATACCATATTGTATACCAAAAGTTCCAGGCAGGTTCTATTATTATTTTGGAAAACCAATTCAAACACAAGGTATATATGCTCCTTTCATTTCCTACCCTTACATAATTATGTTCATCAAACAATATAAAGTTCACTGTTAATTTGTTTTGAAGGGAGGGAGAGTGAATAAAGAGACGGGAAGAAGGCTCAGGAATTGTATTTAGAAGTGAAATCAGAAGTTGAGAAATGCCTTGCTTATTTAAGGGAAAAAAGAGAGAAAGATCCTTACAGGAATATATTGGCTCGTTTTATTCACCAGGCCACTCATGGCTTTACCCACATTTGAGCTTTGATATGAAGGACCTCCTTCGTACAATGGGTACAGGAACTTTCCAAGCACGATTCATCCTAGAGCAAAGGGGATTTTCTAATTGTATCTCAACCTCCATACCATTGTATCTAGTGCATGTTGTGCCTACTTATTACAATTTTAAGTTCAGTTCCAGTCGAGAGATGAAAGAGGTCAGTGCTACAAAAATCAATTTCATTAGGAAGCCCGGTGAATAACGGAAAGCAAAGAGTTAGTGCCTGATGGTAAGCTCAGCCCTAAGATGGAGTATTCCATTTATGAAGTAAAGACTGTCTTCAGCCATGAATGAGGTCCATTGTATGGCAAATAAGTTCCTGTACCCAACTGCCTTTCCTCCGGTGAAGGTATAGTTACCTTTGTATTTGCTAACAAACTCCTCAGTTGGCTTTGACCGTGCCGCAAACACATAATCCACAGCAAAACTCACTGGTCCCTTCTCCTGCATCCCCAGAAACAGCCCAAAACAATGAAAAGAGCTTTGCCGGTCCATGTTGCAGTGAGCAGACAAGTAGAACCCTTGTCCACCCAAGTGGAATGCCTGACAATACATTATGGGCCATGTTGATACTGGTAAAACAAAGCTGCTGGATTGTATCCGAGGTACTAATGTTCAGGAAGGTGAAGCTGGGGGAATGAAGACGAAGAAAAAGAGAGGAGATGGGGAAGGAAGACGAAGCCGAGGAGCGAAGAAGAAAGGTGTTTAGAATGTTTTTTTTAAAGTATGGACGAGAATGGACACCCGTCCAAACTTAAAGGACGACCGTCCAAAATTTATGGACGGTCGTCTCCAAATTTTTTTCTTTTTTTATTTTCATATTTTGGTTAAAAATTTATGGACGGTCGTCCCCAAATTTTTTTCTTTTTTTATTTTCATATTTTGGTTAAGGACGGGCGTCCCTTATTTACGGACACCCGTCCAAAATGAAGGGACGACCATCCATAACGGATGAATGGCTGTCCCTAATTTTTATAAAAAACTTTTATTCCATTTTACTTATGGACGGACGTCCTTTAATTGGGGACGTCCGTCTCTGGTATATGGACCCCGTTCATATAATATAGACGGATGTCTATGTGAGTAAACGGTTGTCCAAATTTGATGGACGGCCGTTCACTAGAACAAAATTGTTAAAAAAATCAAAAGCGTATTACACGTATGTCGGTACACAATTTCAGTGCAGGTTTTTCGATGTCCCTAGCTTTATTGATAAACAAACCAAATAACTTTTCAATATTCTCTTCGTATCACTCTCTGTTTCGGCATTATAACTGTATCTCATCATGGCCAAGATCAAGATTGGGATTAACGGTATACATTTCTTCTCAATTCTCTTAATATGTTCACGTTATTTAATTCTACAAGTTTACACGTTCAGATGTTCTGTTTTATATTTTTTCGTTGATTTTTGTTTTTCTTTTTTGATGAAGGATTTGGAAGAATCGGACGTTTGGTGGCGAGAGTTGCTTTGGAAAGAGACAACGTTGAGCTTGTCGCTGTCAATGATCCATTCATTACAGCCGACTACATGGTACGGGCTTTTATTGTTATAATCTATATATAATAAAACGTTGCTCCATGTATACGTGCGTATTTATATATATACACACACACAATAAGAAGATGAGATGATTTGAAGCCTCTAATAAAATTGAATACAATGTGCTGACGATGATTTAATTGGGAGATGTAGACGTACATGTTCAAGTATGACAGTGTTCATGGGCAATTGAATACAATGTGCTGACGATGATTTAATTGGGAGATGTAGACGTACATGTTCAAGTATGACAGTGTTCATGGGCAATGGAATAAACACGAACTCAAGGTCAAGGACTCAAAGACTTTGCTTTTTGGAGATAAACCCGTCACTGTTTTTGGTGTCAGGTATTAATAATATCATCGTCCATCATTCTACATTTTATTCTTTACGATCAAACACTTATAAATCATGATACAGAAATTGTTACTTAATTTGTTATACAATGATAAATTAGGAATCCTGAGGAGATCCCATGGGGTGAGACTGGAGCTGAATACGTTATAGACTCCACTAGAGTTTTTACTGACAAGGACAGAGTTGCTGCTCACTTGAAGGTTTTATATTATATTGCTCACCTGTTCTTTTTGTTTTGTCTATTATCTAACTATGATATCGTTTGCTTCTGTTACATCTGATATCAGAATTTGATAGATTTTTTAATTACAGAAGCTCTTCTTTTCTTGTCTTTTATTTTATGGCAGCTACGTTCTGCAAAGCAGTTTTATTAGAATTGTGGAATTAGCATTGCATTTTTATTGAACGTGGTTAATCGTGTAAAAACATTTGCTCTTCCATAGTATGGTGCCTATCGGATATTGTTTCTAATGGTGTTCTTTCTTTTGTTTGCTTCGAATTCTAGGAAATTATATCTGGAATTTGAAATATGTATACCCTTAAACGTCTGCATGTTACAGTGGATTCTACTTGATTTATGT